CTTGCTGTAGTTGCCTCAGATTATTTAAGGAGGCAACCACTCCATGGTATTACCATATAGTAAGTACCTGCAGTAACGTGGCATATTATAAAGACCAGTTCCTGAAACGTCGTTATTGATTAGAGGAAATGATCGTTCAAGAAAATAGAACAGTGCAAATAGCACGGCAGATGTCCAAATATCATAAGGGGTTGGTCTGCAAACTACCCATTGGTAACTAGTAGGAACAAAGGGCTGTGTAACATGCCGTGAAACCTTGTCTTGGAGGGTTATGAGCAAATTAGCATACTGTACGAAATGATGATGTCAGTATCGTTATCCCAACAAGTATACATAGAACTGTTAACCCCGAGATATTGCTTCGTCCTTTTATGACCGTTTCTGCGATCACGACAGGTCTTCATGGCTGGGGAAATATCATTCGTCATACGTCGTTCTGGCTGTAATCCCTTAATCTAGTCGTTGCCAATCTCCAAGACGGAGATGCCACAGTTAGGTCTGTGAATCGAACCAACGACCGAAATGATCAATCGGTTCATCACTGAGAGAAGGTCATCAACTTACCTCGCTTTGCGCTGCAGCATACGTTCGATTTTGCGTTGCATTGATGGCTTTTCGGACATATGCTCAGCACAGCGTCTGCCGCACAAATCAGCGGGTTCGCTTCCATTGCTTTCGACGAGTGGCCGGGGCGACAACAGGAAACTTGAACAATAACGATATAGTTAACGAAGGATAAGTGATTAGTAATTAATTACTTACGTTTCTTTTGACAGTGCTGCTTAATGCAGCGGTAATCTGCCGAACACTCGCTATCGAAGCGACAACTGGGAGCTGAAAACAAGGGAAAACAAATTAAAATGCTGTAAGCTGACTTCGCACTTCGGTTGATGAGTTCGATTACCGTACGGATTCCACGGTCTCCAGCAAACACCGTATCTGCATACGGTGTAGCATGGACAGTCATTCTGACAGTAGCAGTTGTAAACGGTAGGGGCACCAGGTTGGCAGTAGCCGTCGAAGCAGAAAGTCTGTCCTGGACAAGTTTGCTGGTTGAAGAAATCGCATCTTTCTAAACAGAAATTATTTACACGTCATACTTTCATCGATCACGACCTTGACAGTAGCCATCTATGCAGTACGAGTAGCTTGGACAATCTCTGTCGTTTCTGCACCATTGACGTTGCGTTTCTCCTCGGTCTAAATCTAAACAAATTCGACCATTTGCGGTATTCGGGTCGACTGCTCCAATACTGAATGATACCTGTTTCATTGACCAAAACTTCTGCACCAAAAAGTTCCCCTAGGGAAACGAAAACCTCAAGCAGGTAGAGCAACATCGCTGAATTTTCAATGATCCTTGCGAAACTGCCAAGGATCGGGTTTGACCTCCAACAGTCCAGTCTCTTACCAACATAGTTGATTCATGTAAGCAAATCAATTGCTCAATACCGACTGACCAGGCGACGGCCTTTGTTCTGCGAACCGGTATTACCACTTCTTAATACTACTGTTCTTAGAGTTCATCGAGCAGAGGGGTCAATAGGTTAAATCAGAGATAACGAGATGCGATCGGAAAAGTCTAAATTAATTGTTAATAAATTTCGCGGCTCCCCTGATATTCATCGGTGTGCCGCAGTCACGGGGAGCGGGCAACGACACCGGCTATGGAATCACATGACAGTAAGAAGTACGGAGATAGGTGCACCCCTGAATCGTATTGGTATGACAGTAGGTTTGAAAGTTTGCCATGAGCCTCATGATGGTTAGCCGACGAGATTCTGGTAACAGTGACTGACAATGATACATGTGAGTGTAAGCAGTCAACTCATGAATAGAACATTGTGATTTCAGACTTGGACGGAAGAACCGAGTCACCATGTGACCATGTGAGGAGTCAACTTATGATTTTTCACGAGTTCAAATTAAGTTAAGCTACACCAACACTGGACTAGAAGATGACTTAGAAGTCAATGCATTGGATGATACGGTAAAGTCCATTGTCTCCATCTAGAAGCCCTGGAGATTATTCATAGAGGTCAGCTTTGCATGGTACTTCAGAACCTGCATTGCATATACCCCAGATGGTCAGGTGCCTGATGAAGACATCGCCGGTAAATGACCGCGTCTCTGACTTAGGTTGATCACGGACATGTTGGAGCGCCAACTGAATTCGTGGGCAAATATATAT